CAAAAGAAAAAAACCCCCCAAAAAAAAAAAAAAAAAAAAAAAAAAGGATGTGTATGCTGGACAGAGAGAAAAAGTAACAAATCACTCCTGGAGGGGATGGCCACGCTGTAATCCCTTCTCATCCATTCTCCTCTTGGAACTTTGGGCACACACAAGTAGCCGATATGAGTTTAAACTGGCGGGTTCTAGGACTCACACCATGCTGACCATGTAGGATTACAATACCTAAACCTAAACCACTATGCCACCTGCTGGCCATTCAAATAAAATATTTTTTAAGAGAGTTTTTTTTTTTAATGATTTTATCTAACTTTATGTATTTATTTATTTATTTATAAATTTGACCAGAGAGGGACAGAATGAGAAAGAGAGAAAACAAGCCTCCAGGTCTGGGACTTGAACTGCAGTTGGCCATGTGGGACTCCAAGGCCCTTCACCACCAAGCCCCCGAAGATTTCTGCTATAGGGCACAAGACAGAGAGAGAGAGAGAGCGAGAAAGTGAGAAATCACCACCCCCCCCCCCCACCCCCGGGGATGGCCATGCCGCAATCCCTTCTCCTCTCAGGATTTTGGGCACTCACACATATGTGCCTGGTATGAGTTTCAAGTCACCAGGTCCGGTAAACAAACTGCAAGTGACCATGTGGGAGTCCAGCAACATAACCATTATGTCATTTGCTGGTCCATCAGAATGAAATTTCGTTTTGAACTGGACTGACTGTAGGTAGAGGTTAAGTCAGCCAGATCACACATAGTTGCCTGCACAGTTCAAGCCTTGTATTCAGCAACTTGAGAAACACACCAGCCCCATGTGCATGTATGCTCAAAATTCCAAAAGGAGGGAGAGATGAAGGGATTACCATTCCCCATGGGGGTGGGGTAGGGAGTGTTTTCTCCACTCCCTCCCTGTTTCTGGCAAGCACATGCATCCTCTAGCAAAAAAAAAAAAAAAGTTTGAACTGAAAGAAAATTAAAATTATATAAAAACTTGTGGAATATGACTGAAACAGTACTTAAAGGAAAATTTACAGGGAACCAGCAGTTAGCGTAATGGCTATGTCGCTGGACTCCCACGTAGTCGACCGCGGTTCGTGTCCCGGACCCGGTGGCTTAAAACTCACGCCGGGTGCGTGTGCGTGCGTGCCCAAGATCCCGAGAGGAGAATGGAGGAGAAGGGATTGCAGCGTGACCATCCCCCCTGGGGGGTGATTTCTCGCTTTCTGTCTCTATGTCTCTCTCTGTCTGTCTGGCCTGTCTGGCGAGCGCACCCGCCCTACAGTGAAAATCTCTCAAAAAAAAAAAGAAAGGAAAATTTACAATACCAACAGTCTATATTAGGCAAGAAGACAGGTCTCAAACTGGTAATCTAAACTTCCACCTTAGAGAACCAGAAAAAGAGCAAAGATAAAGCAAGTAAAAGGACAGAAAAAACAAGGCAAACCGAATGAAATTGACAAGAGAAAAAACAATAGGGATAAATTCATAAAAACAAATGCTGGTTCTTCAAGATCCAGAAAATTGATAAAAACTACATAATAAAGGAAGTATTACAAATTTTCAGTATCAGAAAACAGGAGTATCACAACACCTACAAATATTAAAAGGGGACAATTATTACCAACTCATACCTACAAATTCAATGTGACAAAATAAATCCCCTAGAAACTCAGTTTATCAAAACTGACACAAAGTAGAAGAAAATTTAACTGCACTGTATCTATAGCTAACACAATAGAGAACTGGAGAGCATTTCCAAGATAATGCAGTACAATTCCCTTAAAGGCATTTCACCTACAGGTTGTCAGTAAGTTATTCCCTTAAAGGCATTTCACCTACAGGTTGTATGTTCTCTAGGGTTTTGCTGGTTTTTTTTTTTTTTTAAAGTGATTATGCACTTACTCAAGAGATAAAGAGAGAAAGCACTCCTGATGGAAGATGGTCAAACAGCAATCTCTTCTTTTCTTCTTGGGGTTTTGGGCACACACTCACATGCATCCTGCAAGATTTTCAAGCTGCCAGGTCTTGAACTCAAACCAGAATAGGCCATGTCAGAGTCCAGAGCCTTAACCACCACACTACCTGCTGGCCTCATCATGCAATGTTTAAAATGAAGAAGAAACAGGTTGCTTTGAAAATGTTAATACTAGAGACAACTGGTGGTCCAGTGGGTAAGGTGGCTTTCATGTGGCCAACAACCATAAAAGCAGTCCCAAAACAGGTGGCTTGCAAAACTCACTTGGCTTGCATGCTCCACAGCCCATAATCCCAGGAGGGAAAAACAGGGATGGGATTCCTATGTGACCATCTGGTGGTGGTTTGGGGAGGAGGAGTGCTTGCTCATTTTCCCTCTGTCTCTCTCTCTCCTGCAAGTATACACATCCTCTGGCAAATTAAAAACTAATTGTAATGTTGAGGCCAGCAGCTGGTGTAGTGGTTAAGGCACTGGACTCCTACATGGCTGAGGTTCAATGCTGAAGGCATGAAAATAACACAGGCTTATATGCGTGGATGCCCAAAATCTGGAAGGGAGAATGGAGGAGAAAGGATTGCAGAGTGGCCATGGTGGGGCGGGGAGGATTTCTCACTTTCCCTCTCTGAGAGTGCGCACATCCTATGGCAAAAACCTAAAATAATAATAATAAAATGATTGTAATGCTAACATTGAGGTTTCAAAATATTCTTATAGTCTAATGACTTATTACCAAGTCGTTCTATCCCAGAAGATGTAGTTCTGGGGACTGGCAGGTGGTGTGGTGGTTAAGGCGCTGGACACTCCCACATGGCCGACTACAGTTGAGTCCCTGGCTTGCTTTCTCACTTTCCCTCTCTCTGTGTCTCTCTCTGGTCAAATTAACACAAGTGAATGAATAAATAAAATTTAAAAAATATTTTTTTTTAAATGTAGCTCTAAGGGAGCTGCTAAAACAGTTTCCCACGAACTAGTGGTTTGCAAATATAAGAGTCAAAAAGAGACTTCTACTTGGGCAGGGTAATGAATATATACATACATATCACAACTAGTATTGTATTAAATTTAAAAAATAAATATATGAGGAGGGTACAGATGAAACAAGACTGACTGTGAGTTGATTGTTTTTGAAGCTGAATAAGGAGGGACTACATGATACTCTTTACTTTTGTGCTGGAAATTTTCCATAACAAAAGTTAAAAGGTAGTGTCAATATGTGATTATAACTTTAAAAATTACAGAAGAGCTGTTTAAGGACAAGACCACGCTTCACGTTTACTACTACAGAGAGTGAAGGTGGCTATGTCTTGTGAGAACCCTACAGTCCCATTACCTAATGATTACGTGGACGCCCTGGGTCCCAGTTCTTGGAAAAGTTTGGAGCTGGAGCGGCTGCAGCCCCACCTCCTGCACGCCCGAAAAGCAGCACTGAGAACACAAAGAGGAGAGCGCCAAGACCAGGCCCGGGAGCTCCTCACAACGTCCGGACACACACGCGGGTCTGCGAAAGGGCGCAGAGGCCACTGCTTGATTCAGCCGGAAGGGGAAAAAAAAGTTTATTTTCTCCGGCTTCCCCTACCCCCGGGCCACACCCAGGGACACCCAGCCTGGGGGAGGCTGCGGGGACTCGGAGGTGGCCGACCACCCTAAGCCTTTCAGGGCCAGAGAAGACGGCGTAGGGGTGCCGAGAAGCCGTGGCGTTTCCGCCAAGCAGAAGAGAAGCCTTGGGACAGAGGACAACAGGGAAGTTTGGTGGCTTCGTGGACCACGACCGGCCGTCGCCGAGTAGCTGGCCCCGCCACGCCCCCCCGTGGCTGGCCCTGCCACGCCTCCCACCCCTCCGTCGGAGCCGCCTCCCGTGTCGCGGCCCTCAGGGACCGACCTCTGGCCTGACCCCCACTTTCGGAGTTCTTCCCTTTCTCATCTGTTATCTCCATGGGCCTTTGAGCCCCAGGACTTAGCGCTGGCTGTGGAAACACTGGACGCATAGGAGGACAGATACCCTCGACGCTGAAGAAGACCCACTCACCTGGCCGAATCCAGGCGTGAAAACTGCAGACACAGACTTCGGGATCACGGTTCAG